ATTTAATCGACCTTTAAGCAATTTTCTATAATCTTCTTCATCATCTAAAATAAGAGAAATTTAGTATATTTAGAAAACATATCTACAAATTAAATGTAATTTAAAAGGTAGGTGTTTCTTTAGGGGATAACTTTGTTCTATCAAATCTTAAAAATACTTTAATTGCTATCAAAAGTGTTTTATTTGTACCATCTAGCTAGCGATTCTTTTATTTGGTTTATATTGATGCAGTTTAATTATTACTTACATATGAATAGGACAGAGATGATATACATGTATCCTAGGTCTCATTTCCCTATGATATCTGTGATCTATTGTATTTCTTAAAAAGAAAAAACCTAATCAACTTGACCCTTAAAAATTAAATTTAATAGTAAGAAATATAACTTCTAAACCGATTATGTACTGTAACCTTAGTATGTTGCTTATATTTGCAATAATATGCAGAGAAATTCATAATATTGTGGCGTACGATAGAGAAAAAAAATCTAAGCACTTAATTAAAAAATTGATGCGATGCAAGAAAAATCATTAATATCTAAGACAAAAGAATGAAGCAAAATAAGTTATAAGATTTTCACCAATTAGTTCAATTAATGTAGTTCATATTAGCATTTATTTTTCTATTTTCTGTTTTGTTTTATACAAGTCAACACGAATGCACGGGCATGTATCGTAGGTTGGGTTTGAGAAGCATATAAGGATAGAATATCACCGGAGAAAATCTACCACACTTTAAAAGTACGACATATTCACATTTTTTTGTTAGTATTTCTTATATAATTTTAACCTATTAGTTACCTCTATACCATATCATATTCAAATAATTTCTATAAGCAATTATTTATAATCTTCTTCATCATCTAAATAATAGGTAGACTTATTTTGTTTAGAAAACATGCCTACCAAATTAAATGTAAAGTAAGCAAGGTGCTTTTTTGTTTTTAATTTGGATTACTGATGTTAGCTTGGTCGTCCATTATTTATTGACAGATGTATTGGGTACAACATGAGGCTACACTACATTCATGGATTTGTAATATGATTGCATAGTTTGAGAGACAATCCATCTGTGAGCATTTCATTTAGAGTGTGTGCGAGGCTCCACATAGCCTATTATGAATACGATTGGATGGTTAAATATAATTGTGTAATAATAATTTTTGGCATGCGATGTATCATAAATACATGGTTGTATAATATATGTATGAGGAGGACCCGTAAGATATAATATGCCGTAAGATATAATATGATATAATAGTAAAGGAAATTGTTGATTTGATTAAAAAAAACTAAAGCTGCTCAAGTGTATCTTAAATTAAACGTGTAGATCGTCTAAAATAATTGTTTATTTATAGCACCAAGATCACTCCTATTGTAAATCCCTAGCTCTTGCACGTTCACAACTAAATCAGTCTCCATGAGAAATAGATCTAATAATTTATGATGATAAATTATGGTGTACATGTATATCGTGTATTTAGAAAAAATAATCAGGAACTGGATGCATGCATCAATCAAGCACACCGAGGCCATATATAATTATCCTGCCTAATGTTGATGATAAATCAAGCAATCAAATAAATAAACGTTGCAGCTACCAGATGTAATTGTCCACGTACATGCATTGGGTCCACCGCTTTGAATGAAAATTGAAAATTGATGGTTAGATATTTTTCTTAGAATTTTCTTTAAATTATTAGAGCACCATGTGGCAGTTTAGGAGCGTTGGTAGGAGTCCACGTGACGTCTTAAGAGTGTTTGTAGGAAGTTTAATGGACTTTTAGTATATAATAGATAGATGATGAATAGATAAAAATCAAACATATAATTTAGAAGTTATGGCTGTTTGAAATTTATTATCATAAAATTTTATCTCAAACTGCTATACGTACAAAGAAGGGAGAAAAGGGGAGTGAAGCAGAGGTTAGAGATGGGTTGTATTTATTACTATTCGGCAATCAAACTAATCAGCGTATAGTATACATGCAAAGATCACATGTACGTATGCATAGGAGTGTGAATATCAAAAGCGGATAGTGATTTAATCATTAGGGCTTCCACATGTCTTGCAAGGAGGCTAGGACGAGCAGGAGAAGGGTGTCCACTGTACAGGTTGATCGATCGATCGATCAGAGATCAACATGTTGATCGATCACCCTGCCCGCACGGGAATCCGGGTCATAGCGATTCCAGAGGCGCTTGGTTCACACACAGCTCGCTGGTTTGTTTTAATCTCAACCAAATCAACGGCTTGGAATATAGCGCCCACCGAGTTAAATGAAAATTAAGGGATGGATTTTATTAACACCACATGTCAGCTTGAGAGCGTTTTTAGAGCGCCATGTGGCGGCATGAGAGCATTTGTAAGAAATTTAATGGACTTTTAGTATATAATAGATATGTAACACATAACTATTCATGTTTTATCATCTAACTAGGAAGGTAGTCCGCATACACGCGGGCATGTTGTTTAATGTTGTTTGAATTTTTGTTACGAATATTTATGTGTGGATGATATTTTTAAAATAATTTTTACTCTATTTTAAACATGCGTTCATTAATAATTGGTTTGGGCATATTACTTCAAACCATACATCCTCAAATTTATTAAAAAAGTATGTCACATAATGGAGTTGGTTCATCTGCTTGTATTATGTGTCATTCGTTTTTTTAATATTTTTGGAGTTTCCAAACTTTATATAACATTTTCTATTCTGTATTCTATAGATGACTTTAAGCAACATTTTAATTTTATTATATATTAATGAAAGATATTTTCATTTTTAACTAAAGATAAACTCATATTACTTATACACCCTCTCTCACATAAATTGAAGGGAGTTAAAAAATTTTCCCAAAATAATAGAAGAATTTATATGTAACCGGGACAAAATAATTTTTTTAAATACTACCACGATAATCTCCAAAGTACCATATTATATTTTGGCAAATATCTATAGTATAGTGCATGTTAGTTCAATGTCTGGTTTGTTTTCAACACCTATTTTTTTTATTCACGTGATACACCCTTAGTAACTTGGAGAATACATATGTTTATTTAAATTTGAATTAGTGTTGTATATTCACCAAGTGGATTTTAGACCTAAAATATGATGTGAAATTATTATCATGACATTAATTATTACATATCAGCTCCATATGTTGTGATGTATTTAGAGCTATAGACATTATAATTCATTTATATAAAGGAATACAACGGGATCACAAATTAGATATATAATTTTAAAATAATGTAAAAGATAGACACTTAAAGCATTGATTGGATATTTTATATTTATAAATTTGAAGGTTATTATATTTTATCTTTAAATTGTAGAAAATTTTATTTTAATGAATTTCGATTTTTTTTGGCTTTATCATAAGTACGTGTGTATGGTTTTCTGTTCTTTCAACAAACGATACATGCATTGCTGTTTTTTTTTTCAATCATATGTACGTACGGTTTCCAAGTCAACAGTTATATATTTCTTATGTATACATATATTGGAGAAACATACTATTTTTAAACAATAAATCTAATCTAATGGAGTAAAATAAAACAACTAAATTCTGTTGTTTACATTTTTACATATGTAGATTCAAATTATTGTTGTATATCGTCAAGTGACACCCTAAAATATAATATAAAATAAAAAAATTATCATAGCATTAATTTTTATATATACCAGCCTCTTATTAAGATAGAACATTTAAAGATATTAATTGGATGTTTCATATTTATAATATAAATTTAGTTTAACTATGTATATTTACGTAAAGTTGTAGAGTAATATATTTATCTTTGAATAGTATTTCAAAAGACCATCGATCTTTTTTCCAATGATACGTATTATTTTTGGTTTTATTGTTTTTATATAGGTCCGTGTGTAGATTTTTCTTTCTTCCGATGGACAGTAGGTAATCTTCATTTCCTTTCCCAGTCATACGTACGTACAGACTGCTTATGTTTTTTTTTCGTTTTCTAGCCAACAATTATATAATTCTCCCATATATGTAGACAGTTTCTTAAATAAAATACATCTAATTTAATGGTCTAAAATATTGGGTTTACTAATTTAAGTGAAAATTGACAGTGATATTTTAGTAATGGTACTACGTACTATGTTTTTTTAAATGAATACAACGGGATCACAAAGTCGAATATATAATTTAAAAATATTTTAAAATGTGAATGTTTGTAGAACGTTAATTTGATATTTTATAATTTTTATTACAGGTCTAGTTGATGTATATTTGTGGAAAAATATATTTTATTTTTATATGTAGAAAATTCTATTTTCGATTTGTTTTGATGGTACTACATACGTTTATTTTTTATTTTTTGGCTTTATTTTTTTTACACGTGGCTTTAAGTTTTTATCGTAAATACGTTGGCATGTTTTTTCCTTCCTAATGAATCTTAGGTAATTAAGCAGCGTAAGCTCTACTGCTCTTTCCAATCTAACATACTTATATTTATTTTCCCAGCGAACCAATAAACAGTAGTTAAGTTTTTTTTTATAGTCGTACTTATGTACTTATGTAGTACTTATGTTGTTTGTTTTTTTTTTTGCCAACAGAAGGTATCAGTTTATTTTTAAATGAAATACATCTAATCTAGTCTAATGGTCTGAATTAATGGGTCCACCGATATAAGTGAAAATCAACGGTGAGATTAGACATTGCCACGTGGCTGGCGGTCTCGCAGCGTTTATAGAAGTGCCACGTGGTGACTTGAGAGCGTTGGTAGGAAGTTTAATGGACTTTTAGTAGATAATAGATAAATAGATAATAGATAACAAATAAAATACTAATCATAAAAGAATTTTAAATAAGATAAACAGTAAAACGTTGGAAAAAACCAACTACACCTAAAATAAGACCAAGGAGTAGCAATCAGCCACCAACTCCCCCTCCCTCCCCCGGCACATGCATGCGTGCCCAATAAGCTAGGTATCCTAGCTATATAAACCGAACCAGTGTCCCCGTATAGTAGCACTCACTCCTCCTCACTAGCTCCCTCCCTCTCTCTCAATCATTTATACTACACTAATTAACCAAGGTCATATATAGCTAGGTTAATCAAACTTTAAAAAATAATCAAGCAAATATATCTATATTCTATATACTCCAATTTTAATTTTGTATTGATCATTCATGGGAGACATGGTGAGCCCGGTGGTACACCGTCACGCCGCCGGCGGCGGCAGCGGCGGCGACGACGACGACCAGGCTTGCATGTACGCGCTGGAGCTCCTGGGAGGGTCGGTCGTCTCCATGACACTCAAGGCGGCGATCGAGCTCGGCCTCGTCGACGAGCTCCTCGCCGCCGCCGGCGCCGCCGTGACCGCGGAGGAGCTAGCTGCGCGGCTCCGGCTCCCTGCTGCGGTCGCCGCCGCGGCGGCGGTGGACCGCATGCTGCGGCTCCTCGCCTCGTACGGCGTCGTCAGGTGCGCGACGGAGGCCGGGCCCGACGGCAAGGCCCGCCGGAGCTACGCCGCGGCGCCGGTGTGCAAATGGCTCGCCGCCGGGAGCAGCAGCGGCGAAGGGTCCATGGCTCCGCTTGGGCTGCTCAACCTCGACAAGGTGTTCATGGAGAACTGGTACGTACGTAAATATATATGTATTATTAATTCCTCACATTCAATCAGCCAGTTATTTTACGCTTGTTTAGTTTGCCACAAGAAAAAAAAATTAGATGTCATATCGGATGTTTGATCAGATGTCGGAAGGGGTTTTTGGACATAAATGAAAAACTAATTTTATAACTCGCCTAGAAACCGTATCTTTTGAGCCTAATTAATCCGTCATTAGCACATATAGGTTACTGTAACACTTATGCTAATCATGGACTAAATAGGCTTAAAAGATTTGTCTCGTGATTTTCCTCCTAACTGTACAATTAGTTTTTTTTAAATATATATTTAATGCTCCATGCATATATTAAAGATTTGATGTGATGTTTTTGGGAAAAAATTTTAGGGAATTAAACCAGGCCTTATATTGATACTGCGTGAATCAGCCGATGCATGCACTTATCTGGCTTAATTTCCCTTAATTTGGTCAAATAACAAATATCGTTTTAATTAGATGATGATTACCATATAAACCTATCAATAGGAGAAGTCTCCAATAGCAAGCTTAAATGATTTATCACCTAAACTATATTTACATGATCTTCACAGCGTTGTGTTTGGTGCAATTAAATATTTACGATAAATCTCATATGAAAGAAATATATGTATGTATGTTTCAAAAAGTATTCCCTCCGTATATAAAGGCTACACATATTACTTTTATCACCAAGATCAAGAAGAAATTAAATCATCTTGTATGTTACAAAATCATGAAATGAATGCAACCATGCAATCAATGAGTAATTAGATGACTCCTTAAGTTCTAATCAAACATTTAATTTATCTCTTCATTTAAGTCTTGAATGCATAAAGACTACAAATAGGAACAACTAATTTGGAAAAACTCAAATGTGAAATCACTACTACAGATCCGGGCTACAATAACGGGTCATCTGTGACTGGCCGAAAAAATATCATCTTCAATATATGGCTACTAGAGTGGACCCGTCACAGATGTGAGGTAATCTGTGACGGCTTGCACTTGTAACCCAAGTCACAACCATGGCTCATCACAGAGTCACAGATGACATGTCATCTGTGACAGGTATAGTATTATGAACCATCATAAAAGAGACCACTCATCTCTGATGGGTCTTTAACTAACACACGTCACAGATAACGTTATCTCTGACGGGTGGTAGTTATGACCCGTCAGGGATGAGTGAAAATTCAATTTTTTAAATTTTGCAAAAAACCTCGGATTGAGACATGTCCTACGTAAAAGTTTTAGCTCTCGATGATATCCACAACTTTATAACTAACAACATTTCCATTAGAGATCGTTTACATCCCCGAATATGCATTACAAGTGATGAGATCTACTTTTAAAAACAAAATTTGGAGTTTTTTTCAAATGACATGGCTGGAAACATGCCTCATATCAAAGTCATAGAACTCAATCAGACCTACAACATTATAATTGAAAATATTTTCATTTGACAAAGTTTACATGGTTCAAAATACCTGTTATAAAGTGAGATCTATTTTGAAAAACGAAATTTTGAATTCTTCAAACAACATTGGATGAAGATATTTTCTATGTAAAAGTTTTAAAACACGATGAGATCTATAACTATTTAGTTGATAATATTTTCATTTGAAGTCATTTAGGTGTTAAATATATGTTGAATGATTCAGACAAGCATAGACAAAATAATAACATTGGGTGAGTAGTCGACGTGTGCTGACTGCTGAGTACGTGAGTTGGTAAGGGTGCTCTCTACGGGGGTTGAGGTCTTGAGTTCGAATCTCACGTTTAGCATGCAAGTCTATATTGTGCGAAAAATTGTGAATTTATAGGTAGTGATGTGTAACCATGTATATGATGGCTAGTCAAATTCAAAATATTTTTTTGAGGTTTTTTTTGTTACGTTTAAAATTCAAAAATTGTATTTCTTGCTTTGTCATCAGTGACGGGTCGTAAGTTACAACCCGCCAGAGATTAGTCATCAGTGACGGCCAGGTAGTTACGACACGTCACTGATGACTCATCTCATCAGTGACGGGTGACAAGTTTTAACCCGTCAGAGATGACTTACATACCAGTCAGGGATGAGTTATCTGTTTCACCCGTCACAGGTGAGATTTTGTCATCACTGATCAAGGCCAAACCCGTCAAAGGTGAGGGTTTGGGCCCGTTAGAGATGACCTGATCCGGCGTAGTGAATAGGCATAGCTTTTGTGGATGGAGGGAGTATAAAATTTGATGTTCCATGCTTGTACGAGAACAAAATCTATTAAATGGTACTTTACAGTGTTCTATATTTTCTTTCAATTAGGGCAGTCCCAACCCATAGTGTCCAAAAGCAGTGTCTTTGGTGCCATATCAATAAGACATCACAGTAGAAACTACACTCCACAACCCATGGTTCCTTAAAGTGGGCCATTAATAAATACATCATCTCTCTTCTCTACCAATCATATTTATTCTTCATCTATTATGAAGACACTATTCTCTCCTAATGCAAAACTTGATAGTGTCTAGTGCATAGGTTTTCGTGTTGAAGCTGTGTCTTGCATGAGACCCAGTTTCTTCCTCTCTTCACTCTCTCTCTTAATTAATATAGTGCCACATAAGCTAAAAGTCCTACGTAGCAATGTAGTTAATGCCATAGACACCATCGTAGGTGGAGGGTTGGGACTGCCCTTAAGTATTTGCATGGCTAAACTTTTTCTTTCCCAACTTGACGTTCCGCTCACAGTTGAGTAAAAAATTTTGTATGTCTTAATTGCGGCTACTAATCGCGATCGCCGGGTCCCTTTCTTCATCCTAAAATAAACCAAGTTATAAAATTTTAAATGCCCATGTACGATAAACCAACTACTGCCTTATTAATTAAGAGTATTTTAATATTTTGTCGTCATCCTTAAGTTCTTTTTTATTTGGAAGTATTTTTCTTGAAAAAAAACATGCAGAATTTTCTAAGTAGACCCTTTGAGTTTTCTTACAAACGTAGTACTACCACTATGGCCCTGTTTAGTTTCTAAAACAAAAATATTCACCCTGTCACATCAAATGTTTGGACACATGTATGAAGTATTAAATGTAGAAAAAAAACTCAATTACACAGATTTCGTGTAAATTGCGAGACGAATCTTTTAACCCTTATTGCGCTATGATTTGATAATGTGGTGCTACTGTAAACATTTACTAATGACGGATTAATTAGGCTTAATAAATAAATTCGTCTCGCAGTTTTCAGGCATAATCTGTAATTTGTTTTGTTATTAGACAATGTTTTAATACTTCAAATGTATGTCCGTATATCCGATGTGACAAAAAAAAATTGCCAACTAAACCAGGCCTATGTCCTTGTTAGTTAATGGTTTGGACTTGCAGGTACTACCTGAAGGAGGCAGTGTCGGAGGGAGGGACAGCATTCGACAAGGCGTACGGCACGTCCTTGTTCCAGTACCTGGGCCAGGACGGCAACGAGCCCTCCAACACGCTCTTCAACCAGGCCATGGCCAGCCACTCCGTCGTCATCACCAACAAGCTGCTCCAATTCTTCCGCGGCTTCGACGCCGGCGCCGGCGTGGATGTGCTCGTCGACGTCGGCGGCGGCGTCGGCGCCACGCTGCGGATGATCACCGCTCGCCACCCCCACCTGCGTGGCGTCAACTACGACCTTCCCCATGTCATCGCGCAGGCGCCGCCAGTTGAAGGTCGATCGATCATCAGCTTAATTAATATTAATACTACCTTCATCCCAAAATAAATACTATCCGTGTTTAACGTTTAAGCGTCTGTTTTATTTGAAAAATATTAGTCACACATAAAATATTATTCATGTATTATCATTTAATGACAATAAAAATATTAATCATAAAAACTTTTAAATAAAGCGAACGGTCAAATGTTGTATATGAACAGTGCAAAAATACACTTATTTTAGGATGAAGGGAGTATATCAATCAACTTCAATTGGTTTTTTTTTTCTCACGTACGATGGATGGATGGATCTTCTCTGCGCGTATTTATATGCAGGTGTGGAGCATATCGGAGGCAGCATGTTTGACCATGTTCCCAGTGGAAGCGCAATCTTGCTCAAGGTCCTTAATTTTTATTAATTTAAATATCTCCTTTTCTGTTGACTTAATTTTTATTAATTTAATTCTCTCTTTTTGGGTTGAGTTTTAATTTTGTTTGCTTCTTTCTTCATCTCAAAATATAAGGCACAACTACCACTGATGGAAAGACTAAGAATCATGTATCTTTTCGTTTAGATTACTCCAATAAATATTTGATATCTTAGGGTGGAGTATTTTTAAAAAAAAAGAAAAAGAAGATGCTAGTTAATTGTATGCACGCATGAATATCTTGTATTGTGAGATATGAAAATAAATGATAGTTACGTCTTATATTTTGAAACGGATGGATCATAACCTTAAAAAGCTGATTGTTCTGGATTAATCAGTAATTACTTGATTGTATGTATCATGTGCAGTGGATTCTGCACTTGTGGGGGGACGAGGAGTGCGTGAAGATCCTGAAGAACTGCTACAAGGCGCTGCCGGCGAAGGGGAAGGTGATCTTGGTGGAGTATGTGCTCCCGGCGAGCCCGGAGGCGACGCTGGCGGCGCAGGAAGCGTTCCGGCTCGACGTCATGATGCTGAACCGCCTCGCCGGCGGCAAGGAGAGGACGCAGCAGGAGTTCACCGACCTCGCCGTCGACGCCGGCTTCTCCGGCGACTGCAAGCCTACCTACATCTTCACCAACGTCTGGGCTCTCGAGTTCACAAAGTAATTTACTATACTGCACAGCCAACAGCTAGCCGGATGCATGAAAGTGACGGCATTAGTTCGTTTCCTCTTCTCAGTCTCCTCGACGATTCATTTGTTAGTAATTTACATCTAAAATCTGTGGTACATGTGTGTGCCTATACGTGCATTGATTTCTGTTGAAGTGTTCTTTACGTGTGTAAGAGCGCCCCTCGTATATACATATGTACTCCAAATAAACGAAGACAATAAGACATGCTCTCAAGCCCCACATGTACGTGCCGTGCATCCCCTGTGTGTCCTTTGATTGAAGAATCATTTTAGGCAAAATTTGTTTCATAACATCTACTCCGTATACTATACGCACTTTACTAATTACTATAGGACAACATAAAAAATACGTTTTTAATTAGTGGGCACACTGCCACTACAAGAAAAACGATTCTCGCTGACAAGATGCTTTTCACTAAACAAGTGGATATTTTTTTGGCACCAAATGTCCACCTTAAATATGGGGGACGGGGGGCGAGATGACCGTCCGCCTGCATGCAAAGATATATCTTCCCAGGCGGACTATATAAGGTGTCGATTGTGAAGATATATCTTCGCAGGCGAAGGCTTAAGACGTCTGTCTGGGAAAATAGTTTATTATCTCGGGTGAACGTCTTAAGAGCTCCGTCTATAAACATATATTGTAGAATCATGGCATGATTAATCTTGGTGATGAAAAATTGTGAAAGGTGGGTGTTTGTTGAAAATACGGCGAAGAGTGTTTTATGTGAGTGAACAGCGTGTCGATCGGCACTGGGTTGTCAGTCAAATCGGGCAGTGGGCGTCGGTCAGAAGGTATTCAGGTGGTTTGACCGGGTAACCCGATGGTCAAACCGGCAGACTTCGAGAGGGATTTGGTTCTGGGTTGTTTTCATGTAAGGCCCCGTTCATACTCCTGTTTGGGAGATAGATTTTTTTTCGCGTAGAACGAGAAACATCATTAGCGCATGATTAATTAAATATTAACTATTATAAATTTAAAAAAATGGATTTGTTTGTGTTTTGTAAACAACTTCTATATAGAAACATTTTTTAAAAAATGCAGCATTTAATAGTTTAAGAGGCGTGTGCTAATGGAAAACGAGGAAGTTGAAGTCTAGAGTTGAAGAATAGAACTAGGCCTAATTTCTAGTTTGCTTCATGTTTATTACTTCTAGATGGTTTCTATTCATATGTAATACTATCATGTACTGATATGACTCAAGTTGGTATGGACTTATATTTGGATATAGAGTTTCTTTGTTGTTCATGTGTAGATGTTGCTTGAGGCCATGTGAGTATAGCCGGTGATGGATCGGGACTTGGCTTGAGAGAAGTTGAGGTCCAAACGATCAAAGATATCACGCGGGATGCTCAGTAGAGAACAATGTACGTGGATGTGAAGGTTACCATATGGCATATACATGGTATTGTGTGCATATAGAAAAATGAGTCAAATTTGGATTAGGGTCCAAGTATGGAAAGTTTGGAGTTTGGAGTTGTATGGGGATGTTATTTTCCTGATTTGGTAGGTTTCCTATGTGATTAGGAGTCATAGTTCTAATTCGATTCGTGGCTAGCTAGGGGCAATCACTTTGTAGGTATAAATAGAAGAAGGGTTGAAGCTAGAAGATATCGACTTTTTAGGAGAGAAAAGTTAGGTTTTGCTTCGAAGCTTTGATTCTAGTTTGTGAGTTGAGAGAGGAGTGCTTTATATGCACGGTGTAAGTACATATTGATGCAATAAAGTTGATCTATATTCAAGAGCATCTTTAGTGTGTTTTTCTCTGGATCCCGATGGTCACACTGCGACAAGGTGATGGACCAGCAGCGTCAAGAGTTTGTGGCAGCGAGCAAAGCGGTTAGACCAGAGGAGCATCGTCGGTCAGACCGACGATATCTACCCGGTTAGACCGACGTCCACACATCGATTAGACCAGATCTCCATTAGGTTTGAGGTTAGCTTTTATTCCCAGTAAAAGTTTTGGTTTTTGGTTCACCCACCCTGGTAGACTTGGTTCCTGTATTCCATCCTATCTACAAGTGGTATCAGAGCCACGTTTACTCCTTTTGAGCTTTGCCGATTTTGAGTTTTTTTGCCATGGCTATTAAGTTGCAAATCCTTATGATATTCCTGCTGAGATTAATACTGTTGTTCTAAAAACAGATTTTAAAAACAATTGCAAAGCTCGCAATATTTTGCTCCATGGAATACCTCATTTGGATTTTGATCTTGTTTCTCCTCTTAAAACTGCGCATGAGATTTGGAAAGCGTAAAGATGTTTTTTAATAGGATTACATTAAATTTGAGATAAAATCTGGAGAGGCTTTAGATGATTATCTCGCTCGCTTTAATAAAGTTTTAAATAATCCTAGACCTGTGGATGAATCTTATAATGCAAATTATTCTCGATCTGAGATTTCTCGCACTTTTTGAATGATCTTAATATGTCAATTTGAGATATGAAACCCCTATTAATGTGTTAAGTATATCTTTAACTTCCAATTATTGCCACTAACTTCATAATTACATAACAAAGGTTGGGCCCACTCGTCAATCTCACATTTTCTCTATTTCTCTGTTCCTCTTCTTCCTCCTCCTGCTGTCGTCAACAGAGGTGGAACGGCAGTGGCTGCATGTAGGTCCTGCTCCTTCTCGACCGTCACCAACGCGGGTGTTGTCGACAACCAGGCCATCGGTTCCTCCGCACGGCGCCCGCCCACCTCCGCGATGCTAGGCTCTGGTGCAGGAAGTCCGCCACCTTCCATCTTGTCCAGCCCTCGCCGCCTACGCCTTCTTCCTCTGTGTCGCCATCTCCCCTCACCTCCCGCTGCTGCCTTAGCGAAGGAAGAATAGTGCAAGTGGCAACCACCCATATATACTGCCATAAGATCTTGAGTGCACGGTTTGTGTAAGTTTTGGGGTATACATTTCTGTTTTGTGGTTAAGGAAAAGAAATCTCGCTGTTAAGTTGAGGGATCTCCGGTGAACTAATTCCGCCTGAGAAGCACGCGTCACCCAGCCAGGCCGTGTGTCCCGAAAATTTGACAAAGTAGTGATTGAGATCCATGCTGGCCCATAAAATTGAGGATACAGCCCACAGAGAGTCAATCTGTCCAAATCGGCCCATTAAAATTAGGCCCATCTTTTTGCCTATGTATGTTTCTTTACACAAAATATAACCTTCTTTGGCGTGTAGTTCTTGGCGAGGGCGACGTAAACTGCGAAGTTCACCCCAGTGATGGCCACGATGAGCAGGAAGAAGTAATCCAGGTGACCGTCATCCAAGTCCGGTGGAAACCACCCCGCGTCGCCCCCATGCCGCGGTTACCTTCGACACCAGAGTCACCAGCTGGGAGTTGTGCAGGTTCCCGAGCGAGTAGGAGAGGAAGCAGAACGCCGTCGACGCGCTCCTCATCGTCTCCGGCGACTGGCCGTAGAAGAACTCCAGCTGTCCGACGGTGAGCGACGCGTCGGAGGCGGCCATCGCGAGGTACTGTGGCAGCAGCCACGCGACGGCGATGCCCATGGACGCGCGCAGCCGGCGCGCCTCGGCGCACGCGGCCACGCCCGCCGCGACGGCCGCCGTCGCGTGCCCGAACCCCATGAGCTGCAGCGGCGGGCGCCACGGCCCTGCTTTAGAGCGCGACGAAGGCGGCGACGAACGCCATCTGGAAGGACGACAGCGACGCGGCCGGCCGGGACGGAGAAGGCGCCGATCCTGCAGTCCGTCTCGGTGCCCTGCTGCACGAACGTGGTCCTGCGCCTGCGTGTTGGCGACGAAGTAGACCGCCGACGTGAGCCATATCGGGATCAGCCGCAGCAGAATCTTCATCTCCTCCACCTGGGTCACCGTGCACAGCCTCCGCCGCGCGCGTGTCGCCGTCTTCCAGATCCTCGTCGCCGACAATGGCAGCCTTGTCCAAACACCTAGTGCATGCAAAGACCATGGTTGTTCACCTAGCTGAGCTCCATGAGAATATATTAGATTAGATTACTACCTGAATTGATCTGTGTGCTCTAATCATTCGTGCACCGGATGCAGCAACGAGTTCTTGTCTTCTTGACGCCGTCGTCCTCGTACAGCTCAGTTGGATCGTCCGGCAAAGTCAATTTTGCCTTGTGAGAGAATGCCACAACAAGCACTTGGAGCACGCTCTTCAACGGGCTGCTCGCCGGCGCCGCCGGGGGCAGGATCCGGTACATGGGCGCCGTCGCGGCGAGGACGGCGACGGCGACCGCGACGAACGACGCGCACAGGCCGTACCCGAGCCCCCAGCTCACCTTGTCCTCCACCCAAACCAGCAGCGTCCCCGCCGTAAGCATGCCCACGTTGGCCACCGCGTAGTACCAGCTGAAGTAGGACGCCTTCCTCTCCTTCTCGCCGCCGCCGCCGCCGTCGTCGAGCTGCTCCGGCCCGAACGCGATCAGCACGGCCTTGGCGCCGCCGATCCCCAAGGCGCAGAGGTATATTATGCCCGTGAAGAAGACCAGCTCCTGGCTGAGCGTCGCCGGGACGCAGTCGGCGCTCTGCCCGCACGGCTGGCGGCCTCAGAGACGGCAGCGTGGCCGACGCGGTGATCATGGCCATGCCCTGTGATGAGGTACCATTTTTTCTGTTATAAATTTCGTGCTTCATAGTACATAGGTACATAAGTACCAAATTTTACAGTAAATTTTTAACTATCTCATGGTACCTCTTTAAAAACGGTAAAATTGCTCTTACAGGGGAAGATCGCTTATGACGAGAGCTATGGAGAAGCCGGCCATCACCGTCGTGTACTTTCCTCAGCAAGAGTCGGTGACGGCGGCGCCGAGGATGGGCATGAGGTAGGTGGTTCCGACCCAAGAACTGACCGTCGCCACGTTCGAAGCAGTGTCGCCATGAAGAACGTCCTGAAGGTACACTATCAGGTTCAGGTAGACCCCGACGAAGGCAGTGATTTCCAAGAATTGCAGGCCTGTTAGTTAGGATGAGTTGACTGGTGAGACTCTTAGCTAATTCAGTCCGAATTGGCAGTTCAATAATCTAAAACAGAGGTGGACAAAAAGGGTAAAAAAATATGAATATCTAGTCTATCTATTATATACTAAAAGTCCATTAAACTTCCTCAAAACGCTCTCAAGCCGACACGTGGTGCTCTAATAAATTAGAGAAAATCCTAGAAAATCTATTATATACTAAAAGTCCATTAAACTTCCTCAAAACGCTCTCAAGCCGACACGTGGTGCTCTAATAAATTAGAGAAAATCCTAG